ATGTTAAGTAAAAAATGTTTCTAGAAATAAGACATTTTGTGACAACATTCTAAGTAAACTGAATGAAATATGTATTCTTCCCACTTTGAGCGTATTGAAGTCTTAAATGTTTCTGATTGCCAACACATGGATCGATAAAAAACTTTAAATAAATATCACAAGTCCTGTGTTCATCTTGTAATAAAATTGTCTATTAAGTTACTACTAACGCCATCTACATGCGTACTGTATGGAACTATTACAAAGATAAACTTCCCTTTTTGAGCGTCACTCTGTACCTTATTTACATTCTGTTCCATTCATCCATTGCATCTAATAATCTTCAGTCTGTTTTCTATTTTTATTATTAGTGGAATTCTGTGCTTTGCTCTATTTTTGTAGTGGTTATTATTCGTTCTATTATGGCTGCTACATACAGAACCGGCGGCAGTTGCCGCAGGGCCTTATCCGCTTGGACTGTGCGCCCAGCAGAATTATTCAGTTAAAAATACAATACCGCTCAGCGCTGTATTTTTAACTGCAACATTAGAGTTTCAATCAAATAAAACAGACTGTAAAGAGTCATAAAGGTTTTACTTCAGTGAACCTCTAAGTCTCGGTTGCAACATAATTGCAGTTAAAATAAAGGTTTATATCAAACACAATATCTGTCACGCTGACTTTAACTTCATTGTCGATTGCGTTGCACCATCTTCTTTCGTGGTATGGTAAAACAATAACTTTAGCCAATGAAATTTAGGAGGCTATAGTTTACAGTTAAAGTAATGACGTTAACCAGCCATTGCGAAATGATAAGTCCATTATTATTATTTGCTTAACCGGCACTTTGGCATGTTTCTTATTGTTAAAGTAAGTTGGTCAAACTAACCCTAAGACTGTGATTAGCGTTTGACGCTGCATTTGGCGCTGTTTTACAGAATAACAAAACTGCTTTTGCGCTATAACTTTAACCACCGATTGCTGTTTGTCGTTGGCTCTGTGTGTAGCAGCCATTAGGAGGGCTCATTAACCTATCGCAGACTGACCATTCAACGGGCAAATTACAGATAAATATCCCGACTCGTAGCAGTACTATTGCGTATGTTCCGAACTAGTAGTTCCTGTGAATAAGATTCCACCCGAGTTTCTATACAATGGCCGATATACGTATAGTCATAGTTCAGTCACCGATGGAAATATAATCACAAATGTTTTAATAGAATATTGTTATTTTTAATAGAATATTATTACTAACGTCAAAATCGTTTTTTTTTAGGTCAGAAGCCGCTAGTTGAAGTAGACGTTCAACGAAACAGCCAGCTCTTTCATTGAATAGTACCATTCAATTGTATGGTCAGTCTTCTTGTTAAATCATTTGTATTTACAAAGGCATCTATAAACGGTATTTTTAGTTAGTTCTCAGTTGTTTTTATTATGACAGAAGATAATATAAGTTACTAGTGTTATTTAAAAGTGATTTTAATTTATACTAGTTATTTAAATCAGGTTCATAAATCGTGCTGTAAAACGTTGCATTTAGTTATTCAATTCATCGACGACGTTTAGCCATGCAAATGAGTGGCGGTATTGAATTAAAGGGTCTAATTGAATACGCTATTTTAACCAGTTTGCTCCGAGATATACACAGCAGCACATCAGCTATGCTATTCTGTGAAAAATGATCTCAAACTCGATGTTGAGCACAACTCGAAGTTGTCACAGTACACATCGACAATGGAATAAAACCTGGAATATCTTTTATCGTAGGTTTTATTAGATTGAACTCCTACTCTAACACAGCGCTGCGCCCGATGTCGAGTTCGAGGTTGTTTTTATATCAGAATTACACTGCAGGTTTCAAAAGGTCAAATTTCTACTAAACATTTTGAACTTCATCATGATTAAGGCTTGAAACCGGTTGGAGAAATAAAACTTTTCAAAGTCACGTGTCGGTACAGTCCACAGCCAGTTAACCAACAACAAATAAAAATGTACTCATTATATTTTTGGAATGTACTCATAAAAACATTTAATTTGATGCATATTGCTAAAGAAGATATTGTTTTTAATCTGCAATTTAGAATACTTAAAAAAATATGGAGCGAATTACTTGATATGATGTAACGTTCCTAATAATACCCTGTACATTAATATCCGTTAAGGCTTTCAAAAGTTTTGGAGGAATAAAGAAATTCGCATACATAGATGCTTTAAGCTTAACCACAATGCACTCCTGTTTTAGGCAGTCGTGTAAAAATTAATTTATTTTAACTTATTTTAAGAATTGGATTTTTACTAGGCAACGGGAACGGCGCCAGTGATGTTGTGACGAGCTATATGTGAAAAGCTTGATTAATCTAAGTTTACAACCTAATTCAGTTTCATACCACCTCTATTTCGTATGACCCAGTAAAAGTATGTAATATAGTATATATTATAAACAGTAAAACCCATGTCGTGATGTTATGAGTTCTAGTTAGAAATATAGTATATATAGAAATTTTCCCTCATCTATAATTTGACTATGAGAAACTTTATTCTGATAGCTAAATCTAAGACCATCGCTGAAAAATTGCGTTTCGTGAATCACACTTTTTATTAATTTTCCTCATCTGACAATTCATAAAATATCAAAGCCTTGCTGTTTATACCCGGCAATCTTATAGTTAGCCTAAAAACAAAGTAGGCAATCTATTTTTTTTTTCGATTATTTTAAACGTTTTGTTAGCATTAATTATCGATTTTAATGAATAACAGATGATTGGGGGAAAAGTGATGCACAGTGAATTTTATTATACAGTGATTTAGATAGGCAATTCTAGGCTTTATTGTCTAATTTATAAAACCTATCACAATCCATTTTAATTTGACATTTGAAAAATATTGAAGAATTTCACGCTACAACTATGGACATGTGATAGCGTTTGTAAACAATAGATATCGTTAACTTGACGGTAATTGAATTTGTCTAAGGCAAGCGTTAGATGCAAATATTTTCTGCAATCTTTCGAATGGTTTATTATGTTTTTAATCATTCAAATAATTATTCCTTCAAAAATCGATTGCGATCTGTAAGTTGTATGATTCCATAAATCGCTAAACTTTAGAATGAGATTGCGCTTGATTTTAAAACTAGCCAGCCCAAGATCTAAATATTACAATACAACATATAAAAACACTCACTCTCAAATTACAGACGAGGGAATATTTTCCTTAATCATATCCTAGACTATTTTATTTATTGGATTATAGCGTTTAATATTTAAGTGTACGTATATCAAGATTTATGAATACATATCGTATGAGGGGATCTGTTGGTATTTTCAATATCTTCAGATAACATCAACCACTTTGGGAGTAGATCAGAAATTTGTGTGGTAAAATTTTCATATTAAACTAGGAGATATAAATGCGGGTAGTAATTTCTTCGTTAAGTTTGATGATGAAATATTATTTTTAGAATTAGTTATTGTTATTGTAAATAAAAAGACCTTTTATAAATAATAATAAATATATAAACAATTTCAGAGTTGATTCTTCTAATTATATTTGCTAGAAAAATAATATATCCTTATTCGTTATAATATATATTTTCATTGAATTCATTTAGTGGATTTAAAGTGATTACACACAAAATATAAGTAACATTACAAGACTATATTCATATTAAAATTATTTGTTTGGGTGATGCTACTCCACCGTGAAAAATTACTTAATAATATATAATGTCTATTCTTAATAAAAAAATCTTAAAAAATCGATAAAATATAATAAATATCATATATATTAAAAAAATAGGGTTCCGCAAATAAAGGGTATAAAAGGGATCATATTATTAGTCCTATTCCTATTTATATTATGAACCGTGATAGTTAGGGATCACGGCGCGGAACTCTATTTTTTTTAAATATTACCTATATATTCAGTAATTATCTATGGTCGAGTGGCATCACCAGAACGAATAATTTTAATATAAATATAATCTTGCAGTGATACTTACATTTGAAATTATCATAAATGATGTATTTCTATTGCAGCTATCACAACAATTAAAAAAAAAATGCTTAAGAGTGCTTTCATACAATAAAAGTGTTTTCTTTGCGTTTTTCATGGATAATGATACGGAACCCTTTGTGCGCGTTTCCGATTTTTCAACTATATACGTGAAATTTGTATTCCAGCTATAAGCATTAAAGTAATTTATAATAATTAATGCTATTATTATTCTAGTGTTAAGCGTATATACGTAATATATTTATTTGTCACCGGTTCTAACGAGATTAGTCGAGAGCTTTGAGGATATGTGACGCGGATTCAATTACAGAGCACACTTGTTGTGTAGTCCTAATACATAAAGCGTATTAGATACATTGAACAAAGAATTGAATGAATTAAATAATATTCTATTAAAGATTTGTGCCATAGACGATTTTTAATGAAGTTCATAAAAAGAAATATTTCGTAATCGAATAAGAAAGGTGTAACTTAAATTAACTGTGTATTAAATTACAGCATATGTTAGTAATTATGTCACCAGAAACGTGAACATTTGAGAAATATTTACATTCTGAATTTCTAAATGAGACCACTGACATATCATTTTGTATTCAGATACTAGTATTATATATTTTCTAGTGAGTGAGTACGGAAGTGGAGTTGATATATTTCTACACACATTTTTTTTTACTTTTTTGAAATCAGTTTAGCTTTTTTTATTTTATCAGTAGTTGACTGCTTAAACGAACGGATTATAAATATAATCTATTCCATAGATTGGTAAACAGATGTGATTGATTTACCATTATTGTACCATTGATTCACCATACTTGACTAGAATACATATTTTTATTTTGGTATTTGGTAATTTATTTGTAAATAGAGTTTCAAAATCAGTGGATTCATTTAAAATACATTACAGGGAGTATACGTTAATGAATTAATCATAGATAGTGAGAGGCAACATGTCCGAGTAATGTTTGGGTTGGTAATTCATACGAAATTGCTATAGTTTCATTTTCTTTAATCCAAAATTATCACATAGGAACTATTCGTGTTTCGGCTATTTAACGTAATTAGTTTTAAACACTTTTCTAAATCTGAGAGTAAAAACAATTAGGTAACTTTCTTCCAGGTATGTATATGATATCCACTAAACAACTAATTTTATTTATAATTAAATGAATAAAATATAAATTATGTATCAAAATTTGAATCTACCTTCATTTAGTTTGCTGTGTGTTCGTGAAAAAAAACTTAGGATTATGTGTTGTAGCCCGAAAATTTGGTAAATGGATTTTCTTGTTCTGTAAACACTGATTGCCTTTTTTTGTGGTGGCAACTTGGTGTTCAATTTGACACTCGCCGATGATCGATGATTTTTTCTTTCCGACGCCGGTGCAATATAGTGAAATATTATTTTACATTATAACCCAGCAAAGTGTTATATTGGTCGGAGGATTGCCATTGGCATTTTTAAAATAATATTATCCTATACAGGGCGAGGTTACTAGTCGGGCGTAGTATGCGTCATCTAAACTTGATGATAGGAATTGTCATACAGGAGTACGACCTTCCCGTTCCTGGATGGTCTGTGGCTTTTTCTAAACTCCGTTCAAGAGTTTTTTTTGAGGTCATCCTTTAAGTAGACCTGTGCGGTTGCTGCCTTGGACACTCCAGCAGCCCCGAGGCTTGACAAATTTGACTTGAGATCTTTTATTTAGATTTTGCAACACACCCAGATTAGTTACTTTATAAATACTCATAGATCTCTCAAGTACCTCCAAATTGTCAAGTGGGAGTAATTATTACATAATAAAACTTACTTTAATATAACCAGCAATTGCTACGGCTCCATTTAATTTTTTCGTCGCAAGCCCCGTTTTTTTTGTGACCAGTACCAATAAATACTCAAGAAATTAATTGGTGGTTTATTTTTACCTCCCACCCTCTTATGTGTAGTGAAAAAGGCTACCGTGTTTAGTGGCAAGCGGAGCAATTGCAATCTGAGAGAGGTGCGATTCTATCTACGGTGGGATGATTGAGAAGAACCTATATTCACCTGCTCAATTTGTTCTTCATAGTCTTCAGAACGTTGGTGCTATTAATGCAGTTAAATATATTACATTTATGAGTTAGTGGTAGCTCATTGATATTTGAGTTCGAACGTGAATAGTGGTGATATAATAAATATATGGTGCAGTGAATTTCTGCGAGAATTGTTCGAGGAATTTTGTATCTGAAGTGGAAGAATGCAAGTTTTCTAAATTGTTCATACGATGAGCGTCCCCATAAGCCAATGAAATTCATACTGTATATATTTCATTATTATCATTATCAAAGAAAATATATCATTTACAAATTCCACAATATTTATAATATCCGTTCTTCACTTAAAATGCATTTATTTTCAATCCAAACAAATTCAGCTCATATGAGTATTTAACCAGCCCTTGTATTTAGCTACATCAGTGAATATCACGTACTGATAAGGATCACATATCGGTACATCACTTCTGGATACACTGAGGGACACAATTCCTCTGACATACCAGGCTCCTGACGCATTGGGAGCTATATTTTGAGATTCATCAGGCACAAATACTACGAAAGCACCTCCGCTATCACCATTACAAGCTGATGTCCCTAGAAAAAATAATACAGTTATTTTTATTGAATTATGTACCCAGAGCACATATAACTATTATTTAGTTGAAGGAAATTCTTTAATATCCTAAAATGTACTTAGAAAAACCTGAGTGCATTTAAAGATGGCTAGACTTTAGATTCTTAAGTAGATGTATTTCTAATGGTCTACATTTATGTTTGTTGGCCTGTGAAGTATATATTTAATTGAATAGAAAAAATACTAATAGAGCTTCAGTAAAGTAAGGTTATAGTAATGGTAAACAGTGAAGCTAGAATTTTAGTTACGAAAGACGTTAACAAACACACACCCAAAGGGCTATGACTTGTAACACTACGTCATGGTGCCTTCAGTTTTGCGTCTTCTTATCTAGCAAATATGCAAATATGATGAAATAGGCGTTATTTTGCGGAAGTCAATTCTAATAAACGTAAAACTGCAAGATCTGCTAGTTGGTACTGTAAGGTGTAACTACTTCTGAGGATGCTTGTGCGAGATTTGTTAGGGAATAGTAGGTCTTGCAGATACTGACTAGGTGTGGAAGTTGATAGATATTATCCTACTTCCCCTCGCATTATTACACTCATACTGAAGGTCATGATTCTCTACTTGTAACGTAACCTTTCCCCAGGTAATTTTTGTCAACTGTTCCTCTTGGTTGTTCGGATCTAGTCAGTCCAGAGATTGCTCCCTTCTTTTCTAGCGATGTGATCAAAGAATTCAAGCACTCTTCGCAGGAGGCTATCATAGTTTCACAGTTATAATATAAATAAAATTTAATTTACCGTTATTGAATCCCGCACAGAATTTTTGACTGTTTAATAATCTTGAGAAGAAAGAAGGGTTGCTCTTTATGCAGGTTGTCTCAGACTGTTTTGGAATAGTTACTTGTTGTAATGATGATGACAAGGAATCACTTTGATCGAATCCCCATCCAACAACCTATATTAATTTAAAACAGACGACCTATTAGGCTTTAAAATTAGGAAATATGTATTTTCAGTACAAGGTAACAAAATTTAGTGGTCACTCAATCGTCATTCTAAATGGTTCAGGCATTGTCAGTAAAGCATTAGCTATGCTTTCAGTTAGTTTCATGCATTTAATATTTTTCAAATTTACTCTAAAACTCTTTTCAATAAGGTTTATATTACCGTTCCATACAAAGTTCCTGATGGTAATTTTTTATTTGCATCTGAATACCAAACGCAGGCTGGTTGCACGTAGTCACTGAAGGTCACTTCAGATTTCAACTTTATTAAAGCAATATCGTTGTCTAATTTACTGGGATTAAATTCATTATGGACTATGATTTGATGCACCTGTAATTTTTAAATAAATAAATATTATAAATATCCTTAATGAGAAATGCTTATAAAATCCAGTTTGTCCCTGGTACTCTGAGATGGATTGCGAACCAGGGACAAAGTGGATTTTTTATGCATTTTTCATTAAGAATAAATATAATTTCTCCGGTATGGTATTGTGAAAGCAAAATTGATCAAATGTAATAATCATTGTAACATCTCTTTCTTTCGTAGATTAACGGAATTGGTTTCCAACAATTATGATCCTGTCCATTTATTGCTGCATACATGAAGATGGCTCGTTGGAGACGTTTATGCGGCTAATATAAATTTATATATTAAATAAACATAATATACAGTTTATATATATAAATATATCATTTATATATATAAACTGTATTATGGAAAGCATTAAATATTCTAACACTAATAAATTAATTGTAGGATATAATACCCCTTTCTCTTGAGGCGATATGTCCCCTCCAACTAGATTATATTTCCCAAGAATTACGTTTCTTGTCTCCGGCAGGACAGGACTGCCTCTTGATGTTACACAATGTGCCGCTGAAAAAACACCGAAAGTCTTTATAATATATAATTTAAAAATTTATGAACTTTTGCTTCTATTTTTTGGGTTTATCAAGTTCACTTTTGTTCTTTTGTATCCTTCTCAAGTATCTGACATGACCTTTGTCAATTGTCACTAGCAAACCACATTTCTTATTTATCACATCATTCTTTGAATGACAAAACTCGACTATGCTGTTTCCCACCTTTGTCATATCTATTGAATTATATTTTCCTTTTGGTTTTCTAACTTTCTCTTTTCTTATTATATTATTCGAATTAATATTTAATTTTTATAGATAGTTTGGCAATATTTGATAATATTGCAAAGTATAATTTATCATATTGAGTATATTACATAGTGTTATTATCATCATCAGTCCTTTTATGTTTCCATTGGAGGGGTTTAGGCCTTCCTTATTTAGGAGGACGGGCCATGATTCTCCATGCTGGCCCAATACAGATTGGAAGGTATTAACGACTACACATGCAGCCAGGACAAGCGGCTTAACGTGCTTTTCGCAGCATGGAGTAGCTCGAGATAATAATTTTTTCGTCACTCATCCCGAGATCGACAGTTATTTAACAACAGTTGATCATAGGCCGTGGCGCAAATCCACCACGCCATCGAGCTACTCTACTTATATAGGGCATCCAATAGCTTTAAATCGAATATTATTATATTTTAGGCTATCATTCACAAAGACAAACTAGAATTCTCATCAGCTTGCTAATTCGTACAAGTTCCTAATAATCTTCTGAAGGCAACGATGTAAATAGTTGCTTTATTTGATTCTTTTTATGTTGTAACTTAAATGTTACTTGGGATTGGGGTTAACGTTTCACGTTGTGATACATATTTCTGTTATAAATAGGAGGTATATTAAATGTACTACACCTGTTAAGACAAAAATATTGTTTAGCAAAGTGCCACCACATATGTAGTCAATTTTGAATTTCTCCAGCCTATATATGGCTGCGTGCCATGGCCAATCGCCTGGTTTTGTTGACTGACCATTAACGATTAGTTCTGTGTGTTGGATCTTTCGTCTGCCACAGGAATCATCGGGAACATTTGTAATAATTTCTGCAGTGTCTTTGCGACCTAAAATAAACATATCATCTAAAAAGCCCTGGAAAATGGTAAGCGTTTGATGATTATAAATGAAAAACTATAAAATGTTATTACTAGATTGTCATTACACATATCAATTTTAGATTATGAAATAAGAATAAGCTAACAGAATAACAGAAAAGGCAATAAAATATTTAGTTCATCTTTTTTGATCATCAGTTGTGAATGACTCAATAAGGCGTTGACGATTAGAATTTTAGATTGTTATAAATTTACGTGGCTTTTTGAAATTACGTGATAAGTTTTATGCTGTAAGATTTTTATTGTAAAAATAAATGAATTTTAGGTGTAGTTATTTAGGTACATGAATTTTCCTTGTTTTATGAAACATTCTATGGGTTGGTGTTAATTTATTTTGTGGACTCTGAAGGTTCTGTAATTTAGTGTTATTAGTATGAAAAATAGCAAGTCTGATTTGACGAGAGAGTTGTAAATATTGAAACGTATTTTTTTATTCCTATTGTAGAAGTAGTAAATCAAAGAAGAATGTTTATTTATAATAGTCCTTAAATATGTTTAAAAAGGAAATTTTATTTATGGAAATAGTTGTAGAAATTTTAATGTCTCCACTACCTGTTTCGGTAATAACATTTTGTAACAAAGTATTATTTTGGTAAATCTTACCGATATAGGTTCTTCACAGTATTCTACTGTATTCAGAACAAGACTCGTGAGATAAGGTACCCCTCCGTATGGTGGTCCCTGGACTTTTATTTGCAAGTTCGTGGCGGAATTATAGAATTTTAGTTGGAACATCCTTTCTTTGGAATTTGCTTCTATTCTAGCCGGTGTGTTGTTACCCTGTAAAAAATTTAGTTATACAAAAGTATTCATTGAAATCTTAATTTCCATATTTATTGGGAAAGGTTTTGGCAAATTGAAAAATAAGTTTTGGAACAGTTAAGAAAGTAAAGGCAAGTGGATGTTATAATCTAAAGGAACATCTTAAAAGAAGACTTTTTTCTAATAACAAAATTGATAAAGGACGATTCATTAATTATAAGGGATTAAATTTAGCATCTATATTATATTGTAGGAAGAAGTAGGAAAAATCTGTAATTATATAGACCTCATTAAAGTATTGCCGTGATCACATTATATTTCACTATAATAAAAAAAATCCTAAAAACTGATAATACGTAATTTATTAGCAATATACGAATCCACCACCATCACCACCAGCCCTTTTACATCCCCACTGCAGGGGCTCAGGCCTTCCTTATGGATGGTTAAGGACCATGACCCTCCACGCTGGCCCAATGCGGATTGGAGGGTATTAACGACTGCAAATGCAGCCGGGACCAACGGCTTAACGTGCCTTCCGAAGCACGGAGTAGCTCGAGATAATATATTTTTGGTCACCCATCCCGTGACCGACCCTTGTGAAAGTTGCTTAACGACTACGATCGCGGGCCGCGGCGCTTATCCACTACGCCACCGAGCTACGAATACTACTAATAATAAATATACGAATACTATTAGAAATTTACGTTTTATCAGTTTTTTAGGTTCCGTAGTCAACAAGGAACCCTAATACAATAGTTTGGCCATGTTCGTTTGTCTGTCTGCTGATGCTTATTGGTAGAGTTTTAATTAAGATTAGCTTAAGACTGTAAAGGAAGCCAGTATGGACACAGTACCCTCGGACCACGTGTGCGAAGCCGCGGGTTACAGCTAGTACATACTCATAATATTAATATTTTCTACTGCTACGTTTGCTATACGATCTTCAACTTTATGTGGCTAAATGTCAATGATTTTGATTTTATACTTCCTTGTGACTGTTACAATGCCATTTGGCTATTAATTAATAAATATAGTACAGTTATTCTTGAAAAAATAATAATAAGAGTAGCACTTGACTACACTCTACGTCGAGCGCAATCAAATAAAATTTATTTGAAAATGTAATAAAGCTTTTATTTCATCGAATCTTTTTGTTGTGACGAGGTTACACCCGATGACGTCGAGGTAAGACCTGTTTTTATAATAATATTGAGACTGTTACATCCATCCTATTTTTTTATCCTATGAGAAATTTAGGCTAGGCGAAGTAGTATTCTTTTCTTTTACGTAGATTTCAGTAAACTGTTCTGTTTCTATAATTGTCTCTTCATCCATATCACTCCTTTTATAATATTTCTTTGAATAGTTTGGTGGTTATTTTTCACAATTATTTGTCTTAGAAATGTTTTGAATAATTTGTTAAGTTCTTTATATGGTTATATATAAACAATAGTCATAAAATATTTCTTATTAGTAGACAAGACAGCTAACATTATAATATTTTAATATTAAAGTATGAAATCGGAACAGTTTTATATAAGCTAACGTCTATACTATACAAACAGGTCACTTAGTGGTTTCATTATACAAAATAGATTACCAAATAATTGAAAGCACTTGGTGTCATTAAAAATAAATGTCATAAACAGTAAATAGATTGAATATTTAATAGTCTTATACTTACCAGTGTCACTGTTGCGTCTGAATCAAATATCAAATTCATTTTGTAATTACGCCTAAATTCTTCGTTTATCTGTAGTTGATATTGGTTTTCCTCCTCAGGTGGCAATCCGGCTTCAAAAATGACCGTGATATTTTCATTGTCTTTGCAGGGCCTAAAAAATGCTAGTGGATTGCCAACTATAGCGAAATTTTTGTTTTTTTGAGCAGAAACCAACTTGATGATTAGAACACAAATCACTATTATCACTTTGCACATTTTTACTCAACAACTAATTATAATAATAGAACTTTAACTAAATAATAAAGCGCATCATAAGAACTCCGATGCTATACTAATTTTACATTTAAATTGTCATGTTGCATTCAATGTAATCAAATTGACTGTTCTATAAAGTTGCTGCTGACATGTTTAATGAAAAATATTAAATCAACAAGTTTAAATAACTGGCAAATAGTTAACTTACGATAACTTTTTCTTTTTATACAATATAATATTTAAGTCAATTTTAATATAACCAAATGTGCTGTTAAATATTGATATAGGAGAAATGTCTCATAAATCATTAGTTTTCTTCATGTGTAATGTAATTTAGATGCCTTAAGATACATACATACATAGTCATTCCTTAAAAAAACCTTTTTATAAGATAAAAATAATAATAATAATCGAGATTTGACAGCTTTAAAGTCATTTAAGCTCATTGTAAATACAAGAAAACAATCTAGAATTACAAGTTTGAATTGGGTTATATATGATATTATCAAAGCTTACTTGGCTCCCCCTCTAGCCAAACCTTAATCTCTATTTAGGTCACACACGACGGCTAATGAAAATAAATTATGATCCCTTCGACGCTTTACAACACAGTTAGGCGTAAACAAAGACAAATTTATTTCCTTATGGTTCCCTATGAAACGATACATATAAATGCATATTTACTGAAATTGGTCGCGGATTTCAGTTCGTCGAGACTACGCCAGCTTGAGACGTGTGCTGTTGCACTTGATTGTTATATTGTTATGCATTTTATTTCTCATTTATACTGAAATATAATTTGATTATCGTTCTATCCAGTTGATATATTACAGAGGTTTATATACATAAAAACTCGTTTTTATAAATACAAACCTCTAGTGAATATTATATTGACTGCAGAGTTTTGTGTTGTGTCTGGGAGAGGATAGACAATAATGAGTAGGATATCTGATGACAGTTTCTTCATTACTGACATTTTAGGTTTATCGTATACCCATAAAATATACAGGACAAAAGTAAAATGCTTACATTACTTATATTTTTTCCCGATTTAAGTTTTATAAAAAAATATTTATCTAGTTTATTTTAAAACTACGATTATGTGAGAAGCTTAGCTAAATTTAACCAAGCTCTACTGTCATTATTTCTGTAAGAATATTTCATTAAAAAAATTACTTCTATAAAACTAACACCTTAAAAATATGGTGTTGGTTTTTCATTTTTATTTAGAATTTATTTTTTGCAGTAATTTTATCTCATCGCCAGGCACTTTAAGACAGATAGGGACAGATTTTTATCTTTACATTCAGCTTTTTACTTATTAGTAAAGATCAACATAGACTAATTTTTCGCGATTGATTGTGACATGAGGATAGGAGGAAAACCGGTATGTGGGTAAAACTATTCGAGGTCATTGAGGTACAGTGAACGGCAAGTAAGGTAATACAAATTTTAAATCTTGAAAAATTCGCCAGTCCTGTTAGGTCCTGGGTAGCTCAGTGGTCAGAGCAGTCGCCCGGATTGCGAAAAGCCATGATTTCGAGACCCCTCTCAAAGTGCCAGGTACAAAGTGGATTTTTTAAGCTATTTTCATTTAGAATACTTTTTAGTATAGCATTGGGATTGCAAAATTGATCAAATATAATAATTAGATGGCGATTTTTACACATTTCTTGAACTGAAATTTTGTTGAACGCGGCTTCAGTATGGCTTGGTGGGTGCTAATAATGCCTTCGAAGCATGGACGAGCTCGAGATAAAAATTTTTTGTTCACTCATCCTTTCACCGGCCCTTGCGAAAGTTGGTCTTTCCGAACAAAATATTGGTCTTCACCTTTTTGACTACAATGTTGTTATTCAAGCGGAAACAGTTCAAAATTCTATAATAGTTCTGGAAATTTTGATTAATATTGCAACCGTACCGATCATTATATGTTTCTGTTTTTGATTATATCAACCAAGGCAATCTGTAAATATCACAATTGTGTTTACAAGAAAATACCATTTTAAAGTTATCTTTTTATAATATTATTTCAATATATTATAAAAAGATAGCATATGCACACGATTTGTTTGTATTTTATCGTAACCCCAACTTATCTTCGTTAAATAGTTTCACAAGCATTGAGACGCTAGCGTTTAAACTGTGGTTTAAACAGTACTTCTCTATTCTATCTAGGCCACTAAAATCGACCAAATGGATGAACATTGATTCAAAGCCCTTATATTTCTCATAAATTATATATATATATTTGTTTTTATATGCTGATAATTGAACAGGCCATGTAAAATACAATTTATATTAGTAGATACCAAAAACCACGAAGGTTCGTCCGGAATGCACTTTCTGCATATTATCGCGTTGAACATAAAAAACAAAGATCTTAAGTAGGTATTATTAAAATAAGAAATGCGCTAAATGATGGTTTCATCGAATACCCGAATACTATTAGGTTTAATCTTTACCGAACCGGATATTCGGCCTGTTTACGCGGTAATACAGTGAAATGGCCGGGTTTACTATTTCACTGTATTGCCGCGTAAACAGGCTCAAAAATAAATATTGAAAAATATTGAATGAAGAATTGAAGTATTTAATTGTTTTTATTAGCTCTACTGAACACATTTTTTATAAGATTTCTTTGACTTATAATATAATATAAATATTAAATATATGTCGGCGAGAAGGCGCTTCGATTGTGCGAAACGCCATCTGTCACCTGCAGTTGTCATCTGTCAAGATCTATGGTGCTTTGCGAAACGTCAAGTTATGACATTGACGGCTGTCATCGCTTGTTCGAAGATGGCACTTTACGTTGTGCGGCCATATTGAGCGGACGCAAGCGCAGAATTACTAATCAACTAATCAATTCAATTAAATAACTGAAATCAAATAAAGTGTAAATAAATATACTCAGAATACAGAAAACGTTTTTCTGTGGGGTCTACCAGTGCCCAATTTACTCTTCACTTCACTTCAAATTGACAAAAACCAATAAAAATGGCTCAGCTATATTTTACTTACGTGATTACTTTATACTTATATACTCGTAGGTAACAAAAATATATTCCTAAATATATTCTTATCGAACGGTGTGTCTCCATATTCAAGTGTACGCCTTAGCCAGATGTTACTCGCATTTGCATAAAATAATGATGAGATTGGCTTATAATATCCGCTAGAGTTTGAATCTTTTCTGATACTTTTGTTATGATACATATAGAAAGAGCAATCGAATACTAAAAGAACCTTTGTGCTGACGTAACTGACTGACTGACTTGACAACGTACAGCACGCGAAGTATGACAAACTCGAGAAACGATATGTCTACACTCAAATGTCACTTTCTCGGGTCAAGAGTGAGATATCGTATGGGCGCACCCGAGAAAAGTGACATTTGGGTGTAGACAAAACGTTCTCGAGTTCGTCATGCTACGCGTACAGCATTAGTCGTTGATTGCAGACTTGAAATTTGGAGGGTTTAATTGTCTTATTTAGTAAGTTGTAGGATTCGAATGCATTTTTGAAAATTTCACTGAAAAGAAACTTATTTACTTAGACCTCAAATTTGACATATTCTATGGAAATCTGAAATAATGAAATAAATGGGGATATAATGTTATTTTATGCAGATAGTTGGCACTTTAGCAAGCTAGAATGGGATATCAGCGACTTGTAACCGAAAAGCTTAGCTATTTTATGCTGGCAAGACAGCTAGTTAATTATTTTGCATTCACACAATTTAGTGACGGGTGCTAGTTCAGCCGTTAAGAGTGACCGTAAAACCAAAATACTGTTCCCATCTATCTCATTGTGCCCGGTATTGTTTTAGATAAGGACAGAAAAAAAAGAACAGATGGTCTTCTGTGGAAACCCCAGATGAATGACGAAGATGGCGGATTGTAAAAACTATTTGTAAAATATTCAGTTAGTGCTGCTTAATATCTGTTACGAAGTCACTCATATATATGTATGTATATCTTTATTTCAATTTGCCTTATAAAATGGGTACTTATATGACACCAAAATATTAAAATGGCGCGATTTTGCAAGAAAAGTGATATTTGGGTTCCTCTTGTACGTTTAACTACGCGTGCTGAAATAAAATATTATAGAATTTAATGATTTATTATAATATTATAGAACTGTGGGAGAGCCACGCTTCGGCATGAATGGGCCGGCTCGACCGGAGTGATACCACGGCCCTACAGAAAACCGACGTGAAGCAATGCTTGCGTTGTGTTTCGTCGTGTGAGTGAGGGTACCGGAAGCCCAACCCCTCCCTATTCCCTTCCCTCTACCCCTCAACCCTTCCCTCTAAGGCCGGCAGCGCGCTTGTAGCCCCTCCGGTGTTACAGGTGTCCATAGGCGACGGTAATCACTTACCATCAGGTGATCCGTCTGCTCGTCTGCCCCCTATCCCATAAAAAAAAAGTTTTTTATACTATATAACGCTATTCTAAGTATTACCTCTCGCCGTTTAAATCTTCCTTGGCCTACGACATTTTATAATCAAAATCACCTGTATCGGCTTGAATTTAATGTTTTGAATTTGAATTGAATGAAGATTTGAATGTTTGTTTGTATTGAATCATTTTACCTACGGGGAGCTTCATCATACGCGGGTGACGTAATCTATAATTTAAGTAAGCAATGTCGCGGGACGAAATCTAGTTTTATATGATATAGAGAAATGTCGTATAGAGGTTTAGGTTACACTGAGTAACCCAAAACCACAAACACGCATACTATAAACCAAAACTTAGTATTACTTTTACCAAACCAAGTGCTTAGTTCAGATTTGTGCAAATTTGAAGAGCGAAAACTGGCATATTAGAATGAAATTAAAGTGATTCCACGCCGAGTGAGGCGAGAAGTGGATGCAATACACGAAAATTGTATTACGAAAATTTAATTCCCTTCTCGCGCATCCTTAGTGTAAAAGGTCTCAAAACGCAAGGATTTATGGCATGGAAATTAAATTTTCAGGTAGTGGTGTCTTTGACATTAGAATAGAGATGGTATCGATTAAGATTCAATATAAAATTATACAGTTTTAATTTATATAACTTAGAAAA